GGCATATATATATATATATATATTCATACATATAGTAATAATTTAATCTTAATTGAATTATTATTTCATCAATCGTATTTATAATAAATTTACAATTCTAAGGAGGGGTGGGATTTAAGTACTCATCATGTTTTTATTTTTTATTTTATCATCTCTCTTAAGTAATTTGGGTCTTCGTACTGTTTACTCCTATTTTATTGTCCTTCTCACAGGAGATGATCAATGAGATCAACATGCAACTAGGGGTGTAAATGAACCGAACACAAACGAACAGTGCTCGTGTTTGTGTTCGGTTAGTTTGAAATATAGTTTGTTTGAAATAGGCTCGTGTTCGAAATTGATCGCGAAGGGTCTGTTTGTGTTCGGTTCGATTTTCTTCGAATTGTTCAAATTGTTCGAATTATTCGAATCGTTCGAATTCGTAATGTTGAAAATGTTCGAAATGTTTAAAATATTTGAAAATTTTCAAATTTGTATATATTTTTTGAATTGTTAAATAGACAACAATTTAAATATTAATTCTCATATCTTTTAAAAATTGAAATACATCATTTTATCTTTTAAAAATTGAAATACATCTTCATAAAATATATAAAAATTAACAATTAATTCTCAAACCAAATAAGCAAATAAATAACGAACTTCAATAAAAATATTTGTCATTAGTCATTACATCCAATTATTCAAGCAAAAAATATTTTATATAAAAAGATAAGAAAAGAAAACTTGACGATTTAACAAGTAAATGCATTGAACATATGATACTTCAACCCCCTTAGAGTTTGATTTAACATCAATAAAATATTCCCACACAGTTGATTTTCTCTTCCTGTCTTTCGTAACTTGCATTTCAGTACTAGTGCTCCCAAAAGTCAGTTCAATAGGTTGAGAACTATCAATTTCTTCTTGTGTTGCAAGTGGCAATTGTTCGTAATTTGATACAGACTGAGAATGCTCAACATTTGACATTGTAAATATCTATACAAAAAAATATATAATATCAAATGATGTGTAGGCAAAAAAAAATTACAGCATAATAAAACATAAGTGTATGTCTTCTAAATGAACCCTGTAAGCATTTCATACAATAGCATCTGACTTCTAATGAGATCCTAAATAAAAACCGCAATTAAAACTGCTAAATGAAATCGTAGGAATGATGGGGACTTCTAATGCATAAGAAATGAACCTTAAGTGAATAAACTAATGTCGAGCAAACACTGCAGGTATTGCCAACAGTAGATATTGGAATAAAAAAGAAGCTCATAATGCTCATTTGTAAGCCCAACAGGAGCAGGAACAGGAAACATACGAATTTAGTGGTACACATGCCAATTTTTCTTTAAAATCAATGTCTTAGAAAAGAACATAAGCTTCATTTGAAACCTACCAGCTCATATAAACAAAAATCTCATTTGAAACCACGATAAAAGAAAGTGTTGTAGAAAAAGATATTGTAACTTTTATATGAACTGCATCATAAAGCATTGCAATTATTGTCACCAACTTGTAAAGAAAAAAAATCTCATTTGAAACCACAACATTATAAAACATTGCAATTATTGCATGTCAATCTTTTTCATAAACCAATGCCCTTTTTCATAAATCAACGAAAGTCATCATTTGAAACCTACCAGCTCATATAAAAAAAAAATCTCATTTGAAACCACGAGAAAAGAAAGTGTTGTAGAAAAAGATAATATAACTTTTATATGAACTGCATCATAAAGCACTGCAATTATTGCCACCAACTTTTAAAGAAAAAGTCTCAATTGAAACCACAACATTGTAAAGCATTGCAGTCACCATTTCAACTGCTGCACAACACTTAATCATAATATCAGCACCTTAATTCATTTTAACAGCATCTAATTTTCCTAAGAACAGCATCAAACTCAATATAAATTCAGCCTGAAAGCTTCTTCCTGCATAATTTTGGGATACAGTCAGCAACAAAACACTCTACAATCATAACCATCATCCCTACTCATACGCCACGTCGACCATTCTAATGCAAATACTCCCAAACCAGCCCCCCAAACCAGTAAACTCAACTAGACAACCTCCCCACCATGCCTGGAAATGTCACTGAACTAGATAACCCAGCACACACACAGCCAAAATACAGAAGAAATGAAATCGTAGGAATGATGGGGACTTCTAATGCAGAAGAAATGAACCTTATTTGAATAAACCAATGTCGAGCAAACACTGCAGGTATTGCCAACAGTAGGTCTTGGAATAAAAAAGAAGCTCATAATGCTCATTTGTAAGCCCAGCAGGAGCAGAAAAAAGAAACATACGAATTGAGTGGTACACATGTCAATCTTTCTTTAAAATCAATGTCGTAGAAAAGAACATAAGTCTCATTTGAAACCTACCAGCTTATATAAAAAAAAATTCATTTGAAACCACGATAGAAGAAAGTGTTGTGGAAAAGGATATTGTAACGTTTATATGAACTGCATCATAAAGCACTGCAATTATTGCCACAAACATATAAAGAAAAAATCTCATTTGAAACCACAATATTATAAAGCATTGCAGTCACCATTTCAACTGCTGCACAACACTTAATCATAATATCAGCACCTTAATTCATTTTAACAGCATCTAATTTTCCTAAGAACAACATCAAACTCAATATAAAGTCAGCCTGAAAGCTTCTTCCTGCAAAAATCCTAGCCCTTCAACTCACTACAACAATAGAAAAACCCAACACTTTTGCAAATATAGATATATAAAGATATATATATATATATATCCCCCACCCCACACACCCCCCCACACACACCCCCACACACACACACACGTAAATACAAAAAAACGCTTAGGTCTTAAATACGTAAATATAAAAAACTCTTAGGGTTAATATATGTATCAAAGCTTCTAGCGTGCAAATGTCAACTACCCGTAAACCAAAAATTTAATATACCTTGCAATGTCATGAGTCATGACTATCCCCTCTACTTGTATGCTGTTATTATCAAACTATTGACACATGGAAGAGTGAGGTCATGAGTCATAACAACACTTAAACTCCAGAAAATTAAAAACATAACTCATACTCATAAAAGCTCTACATGGCCTCATACAGAAATTTCAACAACTTCAAGCCCTAGGTTTCACTCAAAAAATTTAAATAAACATAAAAAAAACTAAAAAAATTTCTTAAAAATAAAGCTAAGAGGCAAACCTTGAGGTAATATGAAATATTACAGAAAATATGCTCAAAGAAGACATCTCGGTAGCCTACTAGCCTTACAAGCAACCAAGCAAGAATATCGACCAACCAAGCGGCAAGCATCGAAGCAAGAATATCAAGAATGGTTGATCCTACACCGACTCGCCAAATACACTTTATCGAAGGCAGCAGAAGTAGAGATTAGAGAACGAACACAACCAATCCCACCGAGAGTCGCGATTTTGATACGACAAGAAGTAGGGTTCTCA